CCGGGCCACACCTGCTGAGTCTACTGTAGTGACTGTGGAGATTGCATGAATGCGCTTGGAAAGTCGGTCTACCACTACCAGGGTTGCATTGTACCCCTTGGAGTCTGGGAGTTCCCCAATGGTGTCTACTGAAATCACCTGCCACCTGCGGGTGGGGACCTTGTTTGGGATGAGCTTCCCAACTTTCCAAGATGGGAATGTCTTCACTCTGTTGCAGGTGTTGCATCCTGAAACATACTGTGCAACATACTGTGCCATCCGGGGCCACCAGTAGTTTCAGGAGCTCCACAGTCTTCCACCGCCCGGGGTGGCCTGTTGCCACTGAGTCATGGTGGAGTTGTACCAGGTCATGGCAGAGCTGTGGGTCTTTTGGGACGTACACCCAGCCCCAGTGGAGGATCAGTTCCCCTTCCTTCTCCCATTTGTCTGAGTGTAGGGTCCCCCTTTCCAGCTCTCTCATTGCCTTTACCACTCCCTCATCATGCTCCTTCCCCCTGCATATCCTGTCCAAGATGTCTGCCTCCTCTCCTTCCACTGTGACCCCCTCCATAGCTCTGACTTCAAACCAGCCCGGGTGTAGGAGGGTCATGTCCGTGTTGTCATCCTTCCCTTTTGGGTGGTCCAGCCAATGCGAGAGGGCATCGGGCTTCCCCATGAGTCTCCCTGGTTTATGGACTAGCAGGAAGTGGAAGTGGGAGAGGTAGAGGGACCACCGTGCCTGATGCTGGTTTAGCCTCTGGGCTGAGCGGAAGTAGGAGAGGTTTCTGTGGTCAGTGTATCTGTCGAACCTCTCAGGGGTGCCTTCAAGGAAATGGCGCCACTCTTCCAGGGCTCGGACTATGGCAAGCATCTCCTTGTCATAGATTTCGTAGTTCCTCTCTGCATCTGAGAAGCCCTTTGACATGAACACCACCAGGTGGAATTCCCCATCTGTCTGGAGCTGGGAGAGTACTGCCCCTGTTGCGAAGTTGGAGGCATCACACTCCAGTTGGAACTGACCTGAGTCCGATGGGAAGGTGAGGACTGGTGCTGAGGTGACAGCCTCCTTCAGCCTGTCGAATGCTTCCTGTTCCTTTCTCCCCCAGGTCTACTGCTTTGACTTCCGGGTGAGTGTGTGAAGGGGCCGGGCCTTCTCGGAGAAGTCCTGGATGAAGTGGCGGTAGAAGTTGACAAGCCCCAGGAAAGACTGGACCTCTTTGACCTTCGTGGGTGCTGGCCAGTTGGTCACTCCCTGAACCTTCACTGGGTCCATGGCAACATGGTTCTCCGAGATGACAAGGCCCAGGTAGTTGATCTTCCGCTGCTCAAATTTGCATTTCTGCAGTTTGAGGAACAGCTTCTGGCCCCTCAGTGTGGACAGGACCTCCCAGACGACCTTCCAGTGCTCCTCCAGGGTGGGTGTGAACACCAGGATGTCGTCCATGTAGCAGATGACGACCCCTCGGTCTAAGAAATCCCTGAGGATGTCATTCATCATGGTCTGGAAGGTGGCTGGGGAGTTGCACAGTCTGAAGAACATCACCATTGGCTCAAACAACCCTCAGTTGGTTGCAAAGGCTGCCTTCCACTCGTCTCCCTCCTTGATGCAGACGTTGTTGAACCCCCACCACAGGTCGAGGGCTGAGAACCACTTGGCATCCCAGAGGCGGGTGAGGATGTCAGAAACTAGGGGGAGGGGATAGGAGTTTTTGACGGTGATCTCATTCAGCTTTCGATAGTCCTGGACCAGCCTTAAGGAGCTGTCCTTCTTCTTCATGAAGAACACTGGGGCCCCCATGGGGGACTTGGATGGGTGGATCTGCCCATTTGCCAAGTTCTCCCTGAGGAAGTCATCAAGCTCTCCTTGTTCTGCAGGGGACAGTGGAAAGGTCTTTCCCCATGGTAGCTTAGCCTCAGGGACGAGGTTGATGGCATGGTCCCATGGTTTCCAGAGTGGTAGCTGGTCAAAGGCCTCTTTTGAGAAGTTGTCCCTGAAGTCTCGGTAGCACTCAGGCACCATCTCCTCAAGAGGCTTTTCCCCTGGGGTGGGGTCCTGCGCCCTTTGGGCCATCTGCTGTGATGGGGTGGTGGTTGCCCTCAGGTCGTGTCCCCATCCTGGGGGAATCATGGCTGCATACAGTCCATCCCCGGGTTCTACTGTGAGGTCAGGCTCCTTCGGAGCTATTGGCGCCACCCTGAGCCTTTGGCAGGCAGGTGGGCAGCAGGACATGATCACCTTTTGTCGGGCCCAGTCCACTTCCGGGTTGTGGTGTGTCAACCACGAGTGACCAATAATGACTGACTGACACCCCAAGTTGGTCACTGCAAAGTGAGCTCGCTCTGTGTGTTGACCAAATGTGAGGAGTGCCTCCACCTCCTCCATGATGGATCCATTCTTATTTGGGGTGCCATCCACATTGTGGACCGGGATTGGTTGGGGTAGGGGGGTAGTCTCCAGGCCATGCTTCCAGACGAATTCGTGACTGACAAACATCCCTGTGGCCCCTGAGTCTGGGAGGGTGGAGGTGGTCACTGAGGTGAGAGAGGTGGTTGCAGTCAGCTTCACCAGAAGGTTGAGGGACTGGGGAGGGTGTTTGGATAGTACGTAGATTGTGGGTGGGGGAACAGCAACCTCAGCCAAGGTGCATTGTGGGTTCTCTCTGTGGGGTTTTGTGGGTGTGGCTCTTTTTTTCTTAGCAATCACTCGGTTTAACTTAGGTTGCACTGTAGTCCTGGAATTGCCATGGTATCTACATGCAGGTACAGTGATGCTGGGGGATGACTGGGACACATCCCTCACTGGTCATCCTCCTGAAAATCCTCAGTGGGTCTCTCCTCTCCTGCTTCCTCCTCTGCACGGTCCAGCTCCTGGGTGAGGGGGCAGTCCTTTAGCACATCAGAAAACTCAGTATGGAGCTCTGAGAGCTCTGAGAGCACATTGAGTCTTTGTGCTGTCCACCCTCTACATATAGAGATCAGAAAATCAAAATATAGGTCATTTTGTTCTCCCAAGGATGCAGAAGTGCAAATATAATATGTATATATGTTGTTGAAAATGCATGTATCACAGCAGTTGAAAAGCTCTAAAAGCTCTATGAGCTCTATGAGCTCTGTGGTCTCATAGACCTTATAGACCTTGTGATTTCCTACTGATGAATGGTCTTCCCATCTCCATGGAACCTGCTGAGTAATGAAAGATATATGCATATATGTTTCTGTAAATGTATGTAAAATAGCCATCATCACTCCAAAAGCTCTATGAGCTCAGTGGGCTCATAGAGCTCATTTGCCTTGGGCTCTTTTACTAATGAACAGTTTTCATGTCACCATGCAGTAGAATATGCTGAGTTATTTTGGCACCATGCTCTGATTTGTCATTCAGCCTATACTAGTATATTGGCCTACAAATGCAAACGCTGATACAATTGGGAGCTTGAAAATGGGTTGATATAGAATTGGGTTGATGATGCAAAAATTTCATCAGCTGTAGTACCAAGGGCAGGCTCTCCAATTATTGATGGGTGAAGTGGGCAATGGAACATGATACAATTTAGTGGAATTATGGCACTTCTCCATTGATTGTTGTGATCAAGATCTTTTTTTACAGGAAACATTCCTGATGAAAGCCTGATTGGTATGTCAGTGTACCACCACAGCACATATGCAAATAGCTTGTTTCCATGATGCTCAGCTCCCTCCCTAGCACCAGTTTTACTTGATGCTTGGAAGATGAGTGGAATCTGAGCTGGACGATATTCTGCCATTGCCAAGTCACGTCAGTATTGGGTGGGTTAGGGTATCTGCAAATAGCCCTTACTATGAATTCCATTGTGCTGAGGATGGACAAGGACAAAGACAGAATCAAATACCCCACTTCTGTAACCACCAGTTGGTTTGCACTTGATGACCCTTGCTTCTGCCTTGTAGAACTGATTGAAAGCAGGAACAGTGATCCGATAGGACCACCAAAGATCCAAACCCTTGTATTGTTGTGGGAACCACTCTGAATCAATTGTATAGACAAAATGAGGTTGAGCTGAGCATTGTGATTGCTGTTCATGATGATATTGGCAAATTGCTGATGGGAGGTCTGATAGTTCTGGCCTCCAACCAGCAACCACCTCAATAGAGATATTACCCTGGTGGGGCCTATCTGCAATCTTGATGCTAGAAAGTTGTGGTGCATCATTGTGTGGTACTAGTCGTGGCTCAGCAATTAATGAGCGCCACCTCACATACTCATGTTGCACCCTTTCCTTCTCACAAATGGTCAGCATTGATATCATTTGGAGTTGAAAATTTCGGTGGTTTGTTTGATCATAGAGTGATTTGGGTAGCACTTTATGGAGGGTTTCAGGTGTCTCAGAGCTCCAATTGCTTGGAACCCCACCTAGAATGATATCCTGTTGGAAGTGTGCCAGAGCCATGAGTTTTGGTATCCAAAGATTAGTTCGGATGCCAAGGTTGATAAGCTCATCAGCATGGGAATACATTGCTTTCAGATGCTTTTCAAGCTCTTGCAAGATGCAATCATCAATCATCAGGAGCTGGAGGATTGAGATGATATGGAGGAGGGCAATGATGAGGGAAGTAAAGGGAGGTGAGACATTTGGTGCCTGAGCCAATGCTGGTGCAATGTATTTCTGAACATCTCTGTGCTCCCGCCCAGATGCTTGCTTTAACTTTGAGAGACCATTTTTGAACTGGCAACAGCCTTCTTTAGGGAGAAGAGAAATACGCCTGTCAAGTGTTTTGACCCCTATCAGCCTTGCAATCCATTTACATGGATGATCCCAGAAGAATTTGTGTGCACCATGTAGGAGGTCTTGATGCAGGAACTGAGATGGTCCTACATCTAGATCCTCCCAAAATGGATGTTCCACATAACCAGAAACTCAACATTTTTCTTTATACACCAATGACCGAAACCTCCAAATTGGGGCATCTGGGTTTTCTGCCCTGACCTTTCTCAGAACATGCAAGGTGGATTCTCCATTACATTTTTTGGCAGTCAAATGGTCTCAAATTGTCGTTCCATCAGCACATGGTTGTGCACAGCAGACAGGGCATGACCTTGCTGCAACACAAGCAATCAGGCATTGCTCCTTCATGTCAGCAATATAGCCAAGGAGGCAGCTCCTGCACATACAGACATTTCTGTCTGGGCCTAGAACTGGGTGGGGATGCTGAGAGGGGCAAAGTGGTGCAGTGATTATTTTCATGCATGCATGGAAGAGTTGATGCTTAAGAATCCCTGGAAGGGTGGCTGCCTCATTCTTGGTCAATTTGTCATGTGATTGAGGAGATGTGTATGTGAGGACAGTCTGGGTAAAGGAGGATGTTGGCAGGATTGCAAGAAGCAGCCAGGCACCACTATCAGGTTGCCATCGGATGTCACCATGGATATTTCCAAGTGTCATATAGACAGCATGAAAAACTTTTGATCCAGAGAAGTTTGTAAGGTGAGTCTCATCGCTTGCAAGAATGACACCCTGGATCATTGTCCCATCAGGGGATTCTTCCTCCTCCCAGTATAAGTTGATGCAAAATGCCAATAATTAAACACACACCTGATACCTCTACCATAAATTTCCTGTACAAGGCTCATGGAAGACACGGATGTCTGTGTCAGAATATGTGATGCGCTGTGGCTCATAATCCCATGCATTTGAAAAGCTAGGATTATTTTGTATGTGATCAGAGCACTCAAGCACATCCCAATAAAACAGGATCTGGGGCTCAGTGGGGGCATCAGAGAGGATGACCTCTTTTGCATGCCAAGCTGGGGCCCCATCCATTGATGAAAATTTGTTGTACATTTCCTTTGCAGACCCAAAGCTCAGTTGTTTTGGGTGTTCTTGGGTCTGAATCAGGTGCATCAGCACCACAATACTGGTGCACAGGGACTCAGTCACATACCCAACAATGAAGTTATCAATGGCTCTCTGTGAGAGCTGCTGACCCACTAACCACTCAACCAGTCTCCATTCACTGAGATTTGCCCATGGAAGGTGGGGGTTTGGTCCTTCCACTTCATATCTCTCCTCCTATTTTGTCCTCAGTGGCTCGGCATTACATGGAGTCCCTGCATCTGAAAAGTGCTCATAACTGAAGCCTCTTTCCTCTGTATCAATCACACCCAAAGGGAATGTGAAAGGATCCTCAGATCCAATCCCATCCTCCCAGTCACTTTCCTCATCCTCAGGAAGCATGTCGGAGGCAACTGATTCCATATTCGATTCATTGTCAGAGTCTGGGGGTGGGTCATCCACAGCCTGTGCTAGATTGGTAGCTGGAGGATCAAATGGGGAATAAAGCTCTGGATCAACTTCCATAGATGAGGAGGATCCAGCCTGTATCAGCAAATCCCCTTCCTCTTGAGAAGTTGATGGATTATCACTTTTATCAAGAGTTGCTTGCACATCTGCAGCAGTGAACTCTTGGAACTTCACAAAGCAGCCTGGTGATTTCCGGATGTAGTTCATCATCCCACCACCTCCAAGATAAATGGCTTTTTGGCAGAAATCACAGCACCATGTACTCATCTCACAGTCAAGGTAGTGTCAATCAAGTGTTGATCGATCAATCGACACAGCCACAAAACACGTGCTATACTCTTCATGTTGAAGTCAAATGATACTAGAGACCTTAAAGCCATGGGGTGCTCGTTCCTTGCACACCCACGCATTCTTCAGACTCTAGCTCCTGCGGAGGGCATCGGGGCTGTGCCCCATGCAACGACATCCTTGTTATTATTGTTCCCCATGTGCTAAAGAAATAATGAGATATATGGTGATTATTTATGTACCAAGGGGCCAGCCCCTTGAACCCCTGCTCCTGCAGAGAGCTATTGGGGCATTGCCCCAAGCCCCACTCCTGCAGAGAGCCTGGGGCTGCACCCCAAACCCCACTCCATTAGTCATGCACAGGAATAAGAAACACCTTCCCCAATCCACTGGGAGTGAGGCCCCTGCATTGTTTTTCTTCATTTTCTGGCCATTTCTCCAAACCCACCACCCCAACCACTCCCCATCACATGAAATTCCTTGTAAGTTTATAAAACAGTGTTCCCCATGTTGCCATGAATTTTTTTGATTTTATTTTATAGAGAGCACCTTACTTTTATTTTTCTATCTTTTTATTCTATACTGTCCCATGTTGCCATGAATTTTCTGGATTTTAATTTGCATAGAATACCTTGGTATTATTTTTCTTGGCTTTCCCCCCATTGCCGCAATTTTTTCAGATTTTATTATAGGATACCTTGGTTTTATTTTTGGATGTTTCTATTTCATGTTGTCCCACATTAACAATACTACCATTTATTGTACATGCCAATTTTCGACAAAAAACAATAACTTATACAACAAAAATACTACTACTACTACTACTATTACTATAATTATTTATTTATTCACTATTTACTATTATTATTATTATTATTATTATTATTATTATTTACGACTATTATGACCTATTTATCTACCTATTTTATCTATTTATCTATCTATTTCATCTATTTTACATGCCAAAGTCACATGGGAACAAAAAAGAATTGCTCCCATGGGGGGGTGTAAACCGGTTTTGAGTGGGGGTATTAGTACTTTTTCACATATGTCTGTGCGCGAAAAAAGTTGTGGGAGGTTATGCTCAATTGCTCACGTGAATTTCCTCAAACTAAACATATACACGTGATTCTTTACATAAATCTATCATATCTCTGTCAGTTCTCATCCGTTTCTCGTCGGGTTTTTTTCAATGGGCGCGTCTTGATGTCCTCTACATGTTGTATTATTAGTCCGACTCGTCGTTCGGCGATCCCGAGGAGACTATGGCGATTTTCTTATTTCCCACACAAAACTGTATGGTATTATTCTTATATCTCGCTTAATACCTTACCAAATGTTTTATAAATTTGCGTACTAATTTATATATTATCGACGCAAGTTTTCGGCATTTCTTCATATTTTTTTAACATGCGGTGAGGCACTGGAAGACGTTTCCCACGCACAGACCACGCGCAGAGCAGACACTACATTTGTATCTCTGTCAGTTCTTATTCGTTTCTCTTCGGGTTTGTTTTAACGGGCGCGTGTTAATACTCTCTACAATTATTATTATTGCCGCGGCTCATTATTGCGCGATTTTGAGGGTGGCAAGTGAAGTTTAATAGAATAATTTATTATATCTCGCTTGATACTGAACCAAATGTCCTGGAATTTTTCGAATCATTCTATATACTATTAACGCAAGTACAGAATATTTTTACATATTTTTAGAACATCTGTAGGGTGCTGGGGACCGTTTCCCACGCACAGATCATGCGCGGAGCTGACACTGGATTTGTATCTCTGTCAGTTCTTATTCGTTTCTCTTCGGGTTTTTTTGAACGGGCGCGTGTCAATGCCCTATACAATGTGTATTATTACCTTAACCTGATATCTTGCGATCCTGAGGGTGCCAAGTGAAATTTAATGGAATAATTTATCATATCTCGCTTGATACTGCACCAACTGTTTTGAAAATTTGCATGCTACTCTGGGTATTATTAACGCAAGTACTTGATATTTTTACATATTTTTAAAACACCTGTGAGGTGCTGGAGAACGTTTCCCACGCACAGATCACCCACGGAGCTGACACTGGATTGGTATCTCCCTCAGTTCTTGACCGTTTTCCGTCGGGTTTTTTTCAATGGGCCCGGATTAACTTTCCTTACATTTGGTATTGTTAGTGCAAGTCGTGAATCGGCGTGTATGAGGAAGTAGCACGATTTTTCCACAAATAAACCATGTACATTAGTATCTCTGTCAATTCTCATTCGTTTTTCGTCGGGTTTCTTTCGATGGGCTCGGACCACCTCCCTGGTCATTTGCTATCATTGGTGCAAGCCGCGAATGAGCGCGTATGAGGCGGTAGGACATGTTTTTACATTTTTTCACAAAAAAACCATGTACTTTCGTATCTCAGTCAATTATCATTCGTTTTTCGTCGGTCCTTTTTGTACATGCTTGTACCAACGCCCTTATTCTTTTACATTATTGGCGCACATCGCGAATGAGGGTGTATGAGGCGGTGGGATGTTTTTTCACATTTTTTCACACAAAAACACATGTACATTCGTATCTCTGTCAAATCTTGTTCGTTTTTCGTCAAGTTTTTTTCAATGAGCTCGTTCAAACAGCCTCTCTATACCGTATTATTCACTTTAGTCATCAAACAGCCTGTATGAGGCCGTGGACACTTTTCCCACACTCAAAACACGCGCTGGCATGGGCCACACCCCATATCTCTCTCAGTTTTCAACCGTTTTGCATGGGGTTTTTTGCAATGGGTTCATGCCAACGTCCTCTCCATTCGTTATTATTGCCTCACTACAGGTCATCCAATGCAATGGCAAGATGCCACCAACAGGCTTGAGCGCGGGAAAAGCTTATATAATTAACTGTGAAACAATACATTCAACCTCACTTAAGTATATACTAGAGACCTTAAACCCGTGGGGTGCTCGTTCCTCGCACACCCACGCGTTCTTCGGTCTCTAGCTCCTGCGGAGGGCATCGGGGCTGCGCCCCGAACCCCCCTGGGGCGTTGCCCCAGACCCCATTGGGGCTCCGCCCCATGCAATGACATCCTTGTTATTATTGTTCCCCATGTGCTAAAGAAATAATGAGATATATGGTGATTATTTATGCACCAAGGGGCCAGCCCCTTGAACCCCTGCTCCTGCGGAGAGCTATTGGGGCGTTGCCCCAAGCCCCACTCCTGCGGAGAGCCTGGGGCTGCGCCCCAAACCCCCCTGGATATATTTGATTATTTTTTACACCAAGGGGCCAGCCCCTTGAACCCCTGCTCCTGCGGAGGGCCATCAGGGCCTTGCCCCGAACCCCACTCCTGCGGAGAGCCTTGGGGCTGCGCCCCAAACCCTGCGCTGCCAATCATACACAGGAATGAGAAATGCCTTTCCCTCTTGGCAATGCACTGGGAGTGAGGCCCTGTTTTCCTTCATTTCCTGCCCATTTCTGCAAACCCACCACCCCAACTGATCAAGTTTTGTCTGTTATTCCTTTGTAAGTTTATAAAACAGTGTTCCCCATATTGCCATGAATTCTTTTGGATTTTATTTTATGGAGAGCACCTTGCTTTTATTTTTCTGTCTTTTTATTCCATGTTGCCGTGAATTTTCTGGATTTTATTTTATAAAAAATTTATTTTCCTTTGTTGTCCCACACTGCCGCAATTTTTTCAGATTTTATTTTATACAGAACACCTTGGTTTTATTATTTTTGGATGTTTCTGTTTGATGTTGTTCCAAGTTGCCATGAATTATCTCAAATTTTACCTTATATAGAACCCCTCATTTGATTCTGCTCCAGATTTTAATTATTCAATTAGTATTTATCTATTTATTTTACATGCTAATGGCGAAATACAAAGAAAAAAACAGTACCACCATTTATAATACATGCCAATTTCGAAAACATAACCAAACATAACTAATACAACACCACTATTACTATTATTATCTAATTGTATATGCTAATTAGCGAAAACAACAAAAAACAATAACTAATACAACAGCAAAACTGCTACTACTACTACTATTTATTAATAACTAATTAGCGAAAACAACCAAAAAAAAAAATAACTAATACAACAACAACAACAAACAACTACTACTACTATTTTTATTTTATTATTATTTTATTACTATTTACGATTATTATGACCTATTTATCTACTTTTATTTACCTATCTACCTATTTTATCTATTTATCTACCTATTTTTACATGCCAAAGTCACATGGGAGCAAAAAAGAGTTGCTCCCATGGGGGGTTTGAACCGGTTTTGAGTGGGGGTATTAGTACTTTTTCGCATATGTCTGTGCGCGGAAAAAGTTGTGGGAGGTTAACCTCATTACTCACGTGAATTTCCTTAAACTGAACATATACACGTGATTTTCACATAAATCTCTCATATCTCTGTCAGTTCTCATCCGTTTCTCGTCGGGTTTTG